ATCCTGACATTGTTACCTTTGTAGTTCTGCTTTTTAATTTAGCTGCTCGTAATCCTTCAGCAGAATTGCTTTCCTCGTCGTACCGATGTCATTAATACCTAAGTGAACCACAACAACTGAATTATTCCCTTCCTACTAATATTGACCAAAAGTAGACAACACGTCCTTTTGGTGGTCTCTGGCTTTCCTGCTTAGAATAGTATAGGATAAATACATATACTTTGATTTTTTTAAAAGTAACTATTTGCAAAGGAAAATGGACCAGACACAAGAAAAAAGTGCATCTGAATGGAGGTGAGATTCACATGCAGACTTAAATGAAGGATAGAGGAGTCTGCTCAAGTACTGCCTGATGTTATGGCTTAAGAATGCAAGCACATGGTTGCCTCCATAGACCAGATGATGGCATCTGTCAAGAATTAGATCCAGCAGAACATTCAGCACTTTTCTCAAAATGTTCACTCCATTGCTTAGGCTTTAGTGGTGAGGTGAGAAGCAGCCAGTGGACCATGACATGCATCCTGGCAGTCCCATTCTCTCAAAGAACAACAGAAGTGACAGCGAGAAGGGATGACAGAGACGTAACCAGCAATTGTCAGCTTAGAACATACCAGAGGTGTTCTGATACTCTTGAGTGACCAGGATTGCCAGAGTTAGAAATGTGTGTCATTTAAGGATCACACAGATCAGGTTCAGAGATGATGGAGGGCAACTGGTTATTATTGAACTTTGCACTTCAGAGGTGAACTCTGCTCCCGGCATAGTGGTGATGTTCTTGGATTCATAATATTGAGGCGATAGTTAATGCTTTGGGGGAATGTGGTTCAAATCTCATTATAGAAGCTGCTGACATTCAAATTCAGTAAATAAAGAATGAAACTGTGTCTCAAGAATAGTTACCATGGCAACTATCAAAGATTGCTTATTTGGTTCACTAAGATCCATTCTTCCATTTTGCAACTCTTTTTTTTGTTATTGCTCTACTGGTGACCAGTGTTTGTAGGTTGGGTGATTGGGTGATTAGTTAATTTGGAGGACAATTAATGAAAAGGGCTGGGTTCTTATTACATGAAGTCTATCAGTCGTCTCAAATCTTTTTGAGAATGGTGGGCACTGTGCGGGCTGGAGTGCATTATCTCCCACACTAATACCATTTTAATTACTCTCTGTCTTGCTTTTGTCCCTTTTTCAGCCTTTTTGTTTCATTATTGTTACAACTGCCCCTGGTGGACAGAGTTTGTTATTTGTTCATTATGTGTTTTGTGCATTCAGTGGGAAGATTAAACCCTAAAAGATAAAAAGAAAACCTGAATTCCTCCCCAGTTGATATTCCCTTCCAGACAAGGAATGGATTCTGAATGAAAGTGTGGAAACTGATGCCTGTACAAGGCTATAGGTTTACAATAAAACTTTTGTAAATTGCTGAAAGTCCTTTACTGTCTACCACAACAAATGGATGTCCATGTGTGAAGCAAATATCCTTACATGGAGACTGTCAGAAGCTAGTTGTCCTACTTATATTTTCTAATTCTTTCATGAGATGTGGGTATCACTGGGTGTGATAACATTTGTTGTCCCTCTCTAGTACCTCACCACAACCTTCTCAAATCAATCCAGGGGTGGGATAGGGAATGGATTCGACCATCCAGCTCCTCAAAACTGTTTCGTCAATCAATATTACCATAGCTGATATGATTGTAACTTCAAATCCATATTCCTTTCTACCCCCTGAGAACCTCTCACTTGCTTAACAAGAACCTGTCAGCCTCTTCCTTAAAAGAATCCATCAGGAAGAGACTCACGACCCCTCAGAGAAAAATAGTTGCCTCAACTCTGTTTTGAGTAGACCACTCCTAATTTTTAAACAGTGACGCTTCATTCTAGATTTTACCATAAAATGAAAGATCCTCTCCATATCTACTCTGTCAAGGCCCTCCAGGATCTTATATGTTTCAATCAAGTTGTCTCCTACTCTTTTAAACTCCAACGTCAAGCCTAGCCTGCCCAACTTTGCCTCATAAGACAATCCACTCATTCCCATAAACCTCCAAAATGCTTCCAATGCTTTTACATCCTTCCGTAAATAAGAAGACCGACACTGTGCAGCGTATTTCAGTTGTGCTTCCATCAATGCCCCATGTCATTGAAGCATAACTTATGTATTCAATTCCCCTCATAATGTGATAATATTGTATTAGCTTTCCAATTACTTGTTGTAATTGCATACTAACCATTTTGTTATACAGGCATGAGGAAATATAGATCCCTCTGATTCTCAGAGCTCTGCAAGCTCTCACCATTTCGATAATTTGCAGTTTTCTTTTCTTTGTTTCCTGGCAAAATAGACACTTTCCCACATATACTCCCACATTAGGTTCCTTTTGCCAGATCCTTGACCACAGTCACAGTATTTATATGGCTGATCCCTTTCAGTTTGTGGTCAGTGATAATACCCAGGATGTTGATAGTGGGGGATTCAGCCATGATAATGGTTCTGAATTTCAAGGAAAAAAATGATTAGATTCTCTTTTGTTGGAGATCTTCATTCCCCGGCACCTGCATCTCACAAAGATCACTTGCCATTTATCAGCTGAAGCTTAGGCATTGTCCAGGTCTTGATGCCTTTGGAAAAAGACTGTTTCAATATCTGAAGAGTCACAAATGGTGGTAAACATTGTGCAGTTATCAGTGAACAAACCCACTTTTAAGTGAGGGAAGGTAATTGATGAAGTAACTGAAGATGATTAGGCCTAGCACACTACCCTGAGGAACTCCTGCAGAGATGTCGTGAAGCTGACATGACTGACCTCCAAACACCTTAATCAGCTTCTTCTGTGTCAGGTTTGACTACAACCAGCAGAAAGCTTTCCCCGATTCTGATTGACTCCACCCTCTTGAATTCCTCAATTTAACTGCCTCCACCACACTTCCATACCCTAACTACAAGCTGTGTGAAAAAAATTCTGACCTTGCATTTTCTTCTTTTGTAAGATTGTACTCTCTATTTATGGATTTATATTCGAGGAGAGGCAGTTGCTCATTTTCCATTCTGTTTAGACATTTCATGATTTTGAAAAATTCTTTCACAACTTCTCTTAGCCTTCCTATCTCCAAGGAAAACTGATAAAAATTCTCCAATCTTTCTTCATAACTGAAGTTCCTCATCCGTGTAACCTTTCTTGTAAACCTCTTTTCCGCTAGGTTCAATTCATTTACATTATTTCTATGATGTGATACCTAGGCCTGTACACAATACTTTACCTGATGTCTAGCCATTGTCTTATGTAGGCTTGTCACAACCTCCCTCCACTTGAATTCTAGATCCTATTTATGAAATCCTCAATACTTCATATTTTATTAGCAGTTCTCTTTAACTGCTGTGCCACCTTTAATGACCTTCAAACATAGATATTCAGGTTTCTTTGCCATTGCATATCCTACAGAATAGTCCCCTTTATTTTATACTGTCTCTTGATGTTCTTTATATCAAAGCGCATCACCTCACACTTTTCCACATTGAATGTCATCTATCACCATTGGATCAGCATGAGATAATGTAGTGAGAGCCATCTTCTGACAGATGCTTACTCCAGTAAATCTATTGATATGTGCAAAAGCTCAGATGTTGTCCGTCATTAGTTGTAGACTATTATTGGGAGAGTTGTTCCATGCATTGTGGTTCACCCAACACAGCTGATTGAACGTAAGCATTGGCTCTATGTCAGCCTGAGATAGGACACTGATAGTGGAATATCTATTCTGCCAGTGGTTTTCCAGCATTCTGTGGAAGCATTGCTAATGGTAGTTCTTGCCGGTTTTGGGATGAATGCTGCATATTGTCCGTGCACACAGAAGGGTGGGGAAACATTGCTGTCCTTTAGACCATTAGCTTGATGCTGGGTTTGAGGTCTTGTTGCAAAGAATATCTGCTCCTCAGATGGTGAAAGACTGCACAGGCACATTGGATGCAATACTGAATTCTATCATCTATGTCAGCCCTTACTGAAAGGAAGCTCCCATCTAGCATTGGCATTGTTTAGTCACCTCAGGATCCAAAAGTTCGAAGTGGAAGATGTTTACCAAACAAATATCCATACATTGAATTAGGTAGCAAAAGCCTTTTGGGGACTTACAGGGGTTTTATTGTAAACCTATAGTTTAGCACAAACACCGGTTTCCACCTTTGCCATTTCAATCCTTTCCCCGCTCAGTAGACACCGGGGAAGAAGTCAGCACTTTTTTTTTTTAATTACAGATGTTCCCCACAATGGACAAGAATTCAACCTCTTTTTTTACGAAACCACCACCAAATCACCAGTGCCATCAGGTAAAGTGCCAATTAACAAGAATTAGCCATACGGCAATGCAACACTAACAGAATAGAGGAAGTTAGGAAGACAGGGAAGGTATAAATTAGAATGGAGGTGAAGGATGAAATAATGCACTCTAACCCCTGAAGTGCCCACCTCTGAATGAGTGCGGGCCCAAGCGACTCTTAAAGGTAAAGTCACCATAGTCCTAGAGGGCTGCTTTCTCATTAGAGATGACTGGTGGAGATTTAACCTGAGGGTCACCACACCTCAGGTGAAGGGAAGAGGATGAGAAGGTTAGTCCTTCATGAAGACTTCTGCCAGTGCAGGAATTGAACCTGCATTGTAAAACTAACCAGCCAGCTAACTGTGATAAGTGAGCCCCAAACTATTCTTAGAGTTCAGCAAGGAGCAACTTTTTTCAAAAATGATTTCTTAAGCAGGAAAGCAAAGGAATCAGGGTAAAAACGACCTGCTCAATACCATTATTTTTGTGTTGATAGGAGGGGGAATACGCCAAGGAAGTTATTTCTCCCAAATACTGGGTTCTTTTCCCACTCAAATGCATGGCTCCAATTGACAGCAATTTTTTATTCCAGAGTAGCAAGCAGATTTTACATCTGTCTACAAACTACTAATCAAGTGCAGAGTATTAAATCCTGATGAAAGTATTCAGCGGAGACTCTTGAATCTGCTGAGTAAATTTTTTCACAATTTAATCATCTGAAATGTTAGATAAAAGGAGCTTTGGCCATGATTTCTTCAAAGCAGAAAATATTCGACAAGTTCCGGAGACAGATTAGGAAGAGGTTCTCCTGAACAAAAAAAAAACAAGATTTATGCACCTACTTAGGAGGCAATTGACTGAATTGTTTTAAGGTCACCATATTTCCTCTGTTTTATTATTGTCAAAGCTTTGAATCCTCTGTGCAAAATAAGTTCAACACAAGCAGACGTAAGCAGATGGGAAAGTACTTCACAAGAAATTAGACATTTCACAGTGTAGTCACCGCTGTAACGTAGGAAACTCAGCAGTCAATGTGTGCACAGTAAGATCCCACACAGCAATAAATGACCAAAACAGCTGGCTGCCCACACCACCAACCCAACCTCCCCCGTGTTGCCTGTACGCCTCTTCCCCCTATTCTCCTCCCTGAGTTTGTCCCTCTCCCACACCCGCCCCCTTCCTCCCTCATTCTTTGTATATCTCAGAATCTTACTGAATCAGAAACCTGAGGTCAGGACACGTTGTGCAAAATGCTTGCTAGTTGCCAACCGTTCAGGGACGAGTGTTTTGCCAGAAACTCTGATGCTGCAAATTGAAGCTGCAGAGAAATCTGTGCACTAGAGAAATCAGGTGAAGGAAACAGGCCCATTGCTGGTATGACTGGGAGGAGTTTAGCAGCGACAGATATATTCACCAAACACAGCCCGTTACTCAGGCAAAACAAAATAAAACAAACTACGCGGTACCTTGTGGAAAACTGCAGGAAAACCAGAAACAAAAACAGAAACTGCTGGAAAACCCAGCACGTCTGGCAGCATCTGTGAAGAGAAATCAGAGATAACGTTTCAGATCCAGTGACCCTTCTTCAGAACTGATGGTAGCTAGGAAAAGGTTAGTATTATGCAAAAGATGGGGTGAGGAGTAAATGATAGGTTGAGATAGAGCCCAAAGAGAGCAAAAAAATGTTGAACAGACAAAGGAGCCTGGGAGAATGAATAGCTGCTAATGGGGACTATTAGGAGCTGACAATGTGTTGTGTGTGGTAATAGTCCATGTGATGCCAAGGTCTGGTACTTGGGGGCAGAGGTAAAGACATGGCAGAGGGTTCTCAAACTCTAAAATTATTGAACTTGAATTTGAGTCCAGAAGGCTGCAGGGTACCCAAGCAGAAATTGATGTGCTGTTCTTCCAGCTTGCATTGAGCTATGGTGGAGCTCTGCAACAAGCCTGAGACGGATGTTGGCAGGGCATTTGGTGGCGTGTTGAAGAGGCACACAACTGGAAGCTTGGGGCCTTTTTTTTTCAGACAGAACGCAAGTTTTCTGCAAAGTGGTCACCCACTATAGTCACCAGACCCAAAATATTAACTCTGATTTCTCTCCATTGATGCTGCCAGACCTGCTGAGTTCTTCCCAGCAAATTCTGTTTTCATTTCTGCTTTCCGGCATCTGCAGTTCATTCGTTTTTTTTGCAGGAAAATCACAAGATCTTTAATCCACAACAATCACTAAGCACACTGACGCTACTTGATCACTTGCACCACAAGACCCAATCTTTCATGACCAGGCAGCAGCAAAATTTTGCAAGGAGGGGAGATGGGATTCTGCAAACCCTAGTCACCAGGGTTAGTTACACAGCAATACCTCGCTGAAGGCCAGGCAGACAGGGGCCTCTTGAAACTTGCCCCTCACATTTCCCTCAGGTCACATCTTAAAGGCCTGGCTCCCTATCACCAGGGTCACACAGGGAGAGAACGAAGTAGGGAACAAGAAAGACTAGGAGAAAGAGAGATGGGGCTGAGTGGACACAGAGCGAGATGGAGCAAGGGTGTGGGAGTAAGAGACAGTGAGAAGGATGAACAAGGGAATGCTAGATTGTAGAATCTCTACAGTGTCAAAGCATGCCATTCGGCCCATTGAGTCCACATTCCGAAAAACTTCCCACCCAGACCAACTCTATCCCTGCAGTTCTTATGGCTAATCCACCTAACCTACACATCCCTGGACACTATAGACATTTTATCGTGGCCAGTTTCCCCCTAATTCACACATCTCTGGGAGGAAACCAGGGCACCTAAATGAAACCCACACAAACACCGAGACAATGTGCAAACTCCACACAGACAGTTGCCTGAGGCTGCAATCAAACTCAGATCCCTCGCTCTGTGAGGTAGCAGTGCTAACCACTGAGCCACCACTCTGCCCCAAACAGTAATAGACAGTAGATAGCAATGCAAATCTGCAGATCGGTGTGGGGAAATGGTTTGAGTGTGAGGCACAGAAGAAATGAATGCTGCATTTTAAAGATACGACCAACTGGATGAGACACTAAATCAAGACCCTGTCAAAGATCCCACAGTCACCATGTGTTCACACCAGTATTTCGCCCACAGACAATATCACCAGAGCAGATTATCTGGATATTATCACATCAATGCTAATTGCAAAAAAATTCTCAATGTCTGCCAAGTGCTTTTGTAGATCCTGAGGTGGTGAAAGATTGTGTAGAAATCTCAGTCCTTTTAACTTGTCCCAAAGTAGAACATGGAATACTCAGCTGACAGTTGAGAGAATGAATTATGGGGAGCTGCCTGAGTCCCGTGAGGAGACACAGAGAGTCCAGTTCCCCACCGACTGTCCATTCCTTCCTGAGATCCAATCGGCCTGGGTGACTGGGCGGGTTCAGACCTCACTTGCAGTTATCCTTTGCCGGGAATGCGGAGGTGTGGGAGGAGAGAGAGGGAGGGGTGGTGCGTGTTTGAACGGCATCGCAGTAAACGCTGGATTTGTCCTGCCGCTCTCCTCAGCTTTCGGGTGGTACTGGAAGCGGCTCAGAGCAGTGAGCAGCCGCGGGCAGCGGTGAGCAGCGCGGTCAGCGAGAGCAGCGCCCGGTGCAGGGAGGGCTCCCGGGCCGATTGGGAGACGCAGCCTCCCGCTCCCTTCCTGCACTGGACTTTCTCACACAGGAGCCCGGTGTAGGGAGCTGGGCACCGGCACCTCCCGTTCTCCTCACACACTCCTCCGTTCTCACACCGTGTCAGGAGGTTATCACACACTGCTCCTGCGAAAGAAAAAGCAAAACACAGCAAGGTCAGGCCACTGGAAATCTACCCACATTATAAACTGTCACCACTGCCAGAGTTTCACCTTTACAGCAAGATTTGTATTGACGAGAAAAGAACCAGTCACCAAAATACACAATGACGACACGGACAATATAATCGTAGAATCGCTATAGAGCAGAAGCAGGCCATTCTGCCCATCGAGGCCACACTGAGTGTCCCAAGAACATCCCATCCAGACCCACCAGCTTCCACCCCTGTAACCCTGCATTTCACATGGCTAATTCACCGAGCCGGCACATCCCTGGACACTATGGGCAATATAGCTTGGCCAATCCACCCAACCTGCATATCTTTGGACTGTGGGAGCAAACCAAAGCACCCAGAGGAAACCCATGCAGACACAGGGAGCATGTGCAGACTCCACACAGTACAATCTGTGCGGATTCTAAAGCAAATGCGGACAGAGTCTCAAATTAGCGAACAAACAGTTAAAAAAAAGAAACTACAGAACTAAGTTATCAACCAATTTAAAATGAAATGAAGTCAAGTGCCAGAGGACCACAAGACAGCTCTCTCATTAGAGAGAGATGACTAGGGGTGGTTTCCCCTGAGGGTCATCACATCTCAGGTGAGGGGAGAGGTGGAGAAGGATAGTCTTTCATGGCGCCCTCATCCGGTGCAGGAATTGAACCCATGCTGCTGGCATCACGCTGCATTGCAAACCAGCCATCCAGCCAATTGACTTTGAAATAGAGCACAAAGGGAGAGTTGGGCAGCAGCAGGGAGAGTGTGTGTGAGCCTTTATTTTATACAGAGTAAGGGAAACAGCATGTTTGCTGAGTATTTTTCTGATTTATCTTTAAAACCAATTACGAATTGTAAAGATGACATAGCAACAACATCTAAACAGTAGGCCATTCAGCCCATCAACCTGTTTCCCCCATAGGTTTATTTGTTCAAGTCCACCAACAATTGTGCAGACGACAGTTATGAGCCAAACATTTTTGCTGTGTGGGTCGTGAGTCGCATTAATTTCCTTCCCTAGATTAGTGAACCAGATGGGTTTATATAACAATTGTCAGCACTATACGATCACCGTGGTACTAGCTTTTAATTCCAGATTTTTAATTGAATTCAAATTTCACCAGCTGTTGTGTTGGCATTCAAATGCATGTGCCACAACATTAGCCTGGGCTTCTAGATTACTGTCCCAGTGGCATTGCCACCATGTGATCACCTCCTCATTTTTACTTGAAAGCCTTTTGCCCACTCTACCCCCAGAACCCTTTACACCACTGAATATATGGGGCAAGGGGAGTAGCTTTTGGAAGTGTTCAGGCAATCAGCATGGTTTTCTGAAAGGGACGCTGCAATTAACTCACTTATTAAAGCTTTTGAGTGAGAAATGACGGACAAGAGAAACCTGTAAATTCTTGCACTTGGATTTCCAAAAGGCTTTTTAATAATGTATGACCTTAAAGATAAATGCATAAGGGCACATGGTGCAGATGGTTTGATGAATAAAGAGTAATGTTAAGTTGGTCTTTTCTGGGTCGGTAAGTGCCAACTAATGGAATGACATAGGATCAGCCCTGGAGCCTCAACTGTTAACAATTACATACTAATAACTTGGATAATGTGATAGATATATGGTAGCTAAATTTGCAAAGACACTGCCGTAGTTCAGAAAGGAAGTCATCAAGGGAAGATAGAGGATCTGTGCAAAGGTATCAGTAGTTTCAGCCAGTGTCAATAATTTGGCAGATGGTATAACACAGGAAGTGTGAACTTGTCTGTTTGGCAGGAAGAATAGAAAGGTATTATGGCCAGAGGTCCACGTTCAATTCTATCTGCCCAGACATATGTCATAATGTGTCTGAACAGGTTGATTGAAAATATCTAAAATTTAAATGGAAAGAAATTGCAGAACATTGTGGTACAGAGGGATCAGAGATCGGGCAAATGGAATATTGTAGTTTATCAGAAACCAATAGATTAGAAAAGGAGCAAAATTTTACTGCATCTGTGCAGACAAATAGTAAGCTTACACCTGGAAAATTACAATTGCACTTGAAGTAGGTTGAAGTGGAAAGATAACAAAATGGACAAGAAGCAGCTGTGGGACGACATCTGAAAAGGTGATGAAAATTTAAGGACTTAACAAGCTGGAGAATAAACCAGGGATTGGGTCTCAATTGATGTTCTTCCTGCTTGAAGCCAGTCACAGAGTTTGAGAGCTCCTACCTTGCTTTGGGTTTGCAACATCGAATGATGGAATAGTTGGACGTGTGTGAATCAGCTTTGCGTCGGCTGCATGAATTAAAGGAAATCAGCAGTTATTATTCCCAACTGGAGTAAAATGCAAGATCCAGATACAATATCTGAATTGTTCACACACACGCACACACACGCACTCGCACGCACACGCACACGCACACACAAACTATCACTTCCATCTCCACCTCACCATCAATAAAAATAACACCACGATATGGCAGAGATATTAGGACATGATGCAGCAGATTTTAAATGCGTCAAAGAAGAGGCAGTACCTGAGAAACAGAGATTTAGGGAAGAAATTCAAAGATTCAGTGCCCAGGCAGCTGAATGCCTAATTCCGATAAATGTTTCTGCTGTAGTATCACTTTTAGTCACTTTGCTAAATCATACCACTTCTGGTCAGTAGATTGAGGTAAAGTAATTGTGGATCAGTGCCAGAAGTTATTGCACTCCCAGTAGGTAAGGGGAGTGAAGCTCGCATTTGATCAGTGCAGGGAGTTACAGGTACTCTTGGTATGGTTACTCTCAGTCATTAAAGGGAGTGATGGTCATTCTTCATCAGTATGGGGATTGACATCATTCCTGGTCACTGAGGGGAAATACAGACATACTCAGTCATTATCAGTCACTATCAGTCACTATGAAAAGTAGTGATCACTCTTTGTCAGCGTGGAGAGTTACAGTCAATTTCAGGAAATATAGCGAGTCATTCACCTTGGTCATTGTGTGAAGTCATGGTCATTCCTAATCAGTATGGGAAGTTATACCTATTCCCAGTCAGGTTGGAGAGTTACGGAGACTCTCAGTTGGTGTGTGAAATATCAGTTGGTGTTGCATTGAGGATTCAATATAATAGATTGATCAGAATGGCACAGGCAGCTTGAAAGTGGTTAAATAATGGGGGATAAGTAAAAGTTAAATCTGGGAGCACAGGTGAACAGATTACAGTTGGACAGACTATTCGAGTTCTGGGATAATGAGATTGCAATAGGTTCCCATTAATCATGGTCTCCAAATTTTCTACAGATATTCCATCCATTTCCTAGAATCCTTACAGTGTGGAAGCAGGCTGTTCAGCCCATCGAATCCACACCAACCCACCACAAAGAGCATCCCAGCCAGACCCACTCATCCCTGTAACCCTGCATTCCCCATGGCCAATCCACCCAGCCTGCACATCTTTTGACTGTGGGAAGAAACCAGAGCACCCAAAAGAAACAGATGATAGCACGGCAGAATGTGCAAACCCCATGCAGACGGTCCCCTGATGGTAGAATCAAACCCAAGTCCCCAGCGCTGTGAGGCAGCAGTGCTAACCGCTGAGATGCCCATTCCCTTAAATGCTCCTACAAAAAACATATTTAAGAAGTACCTTTCCTTTAGTGAATGGGTTATAAATCGTTCAGAGATAGCAAGAACTACAGGTGCTGAAGTCAGAGACATTCAGTGTGGAGCTGGTCAGGTCAGGCAGCATCAGAGGAGCAGGAAAGTTGATGTTTCATCAGGACCCTTCTTCAGAAATGGGAGGCAGGGAAGGGAGCTGCGAAATAAATAGAGAGAAGAGGGGTGGGCTGGGGAAGGTAGGCGGGATGGTGATAGGTAAATGCAGGTAGGGAGTGGTGGGGATTGGTCAGTGGGATGGGTGAGGCGGATGGTGGGAGAGAAGATGGACAGGTTGTGTAAGGACAAGGAGGCCGCACTGAAAGGGAGGGTTGGACATGGGATGAGGCTGAGGGGCTGTGGGAAGATTTTAAAACTGGTAAATTCCACGTTTAGGCCATCGGGCTGTAGGGTCCCAAGGCGGAATATGAGGTGTTGCTCCTCCAGTTTGTGGGTGGTGTCATTGTGGCATTGAAGGAGGCCCAGGATGGACATGTCACCCAGCTGGAAGGCTAATCATGTATTGTATATATTGTAACTTCCTTCTCCATATTACAATTGAGGAGATAGCATTTTAATCCAGTGACACCAAACAAACAGGCTTCAGATCTCAGTCTCTTGATACCTACAATCGGTTTCACACTCACTCCCTATTCACACCTACAAGCATTCTATATTAACTCCATGATTACTCCTACACTTGTTTTTACACATTCCTTTCCAGTTTTTCCGAAATCTATTCCACACCCGCTTCCTGCTCACTCATACGCTTATCCCTTCGTGAAAAATGCAGGTTTGCAGGGAGTGGTTCAGTTCTAATTCAAACAAAGGCTTTGGGTTAGCAGGTCGCAGGTCAGGAAAGGTCGTTCCTACTTACAGCCGCTGGTGATGGTGTCAGGCAGGCCTGGAGAGGAAAAGAAGAGGAAAAAAAAAACTGTGATCTCTGATTAACAATATTGATAAATGTTTACATGCCAGGAGTAGGATCCATTATATCGAGTGTTCATGATCTCAAACTCATGAGCAATTAACTCAACAGTGACAGGCATGTTACATTCTCAGAGCATTCACGCCAGCCCTCAATCCTGCCCAAGAAACGTGTGAAATGACTGCATAAGTATATTCCCACTGTGTATAATTAAAGTACCAGTGCACAGGGTTAATATGTAAGGTGGCAGTAGTCACAGAAGCAGACATCTAGCACCCACACCTCCCGCTCTCCTCCCACGTACTTTTACTCTCTCTATCTCTTTCCACCAACACTCCACTGAACATTCATGTCACTACCTGATGGCTGATTTTGGGAGGGTGCATTCACAGCAATGGCCACAGATATCCCTCCTCCCCTACCTACGCTTCTTCACCAGTTTCACATATTCATTACGTCAGGGCTGATTCTCCTTTCAGCCACTTCCAGCTGCTTCCAGATGTTTAACCAGCTATTAACATTCCATTCACACATCAGTCTCCGCCTCACTGCTGCCTCTGTGTCTGGATGCTTGTCCGGGAGGAAAATTTGTCACATTTGACTCTTAAAGCTATTATAATCTCTCACCTGCTGCATAATATTAGCAATACCAGCTTGCTCACTGACTCTAACATTGTGCAGATCGAGGCTTAAATCCAGAAAAAGGTTTCAATAGAATAAGTAACGAGAAACTGTTTCCAGTCGGGGGAAGGTCAGAAACTAGAGGTCATAGATTTCGAAATAATTGGAAAAGGAACCAGAGCGGGGAAGATGAGGTCATCTTATACAGCAGTTATAACCTGAACTGTGTTGCCTCAGAGTGCGGTAAAAGCAGATTCAATCGGAACTTTCGAAACGGAATTGATAAAAATTTGTGGAGAAATTTGCAGGGCTATCGGGAAAGAACGGAAAATGGAATTAATTTGACAGCACTTTCCAAGAATCAGCAATGGTTTGATGGGCTGAATGGCCTTTTTCTGTGCTGTCTGATTCTCTAATGATGAATCTGTACAAACCCGTCACTGCGTTATTCTGTTTATACACTAACACAATCACAAACATCCATTCACTTGGATTTAGAATCACCGTGTTATCGGGGTTTAGAATGCAGATAAATATGAAGTGAAACAATCCCCGACACCAGCCCGGGCAGGAGAATGCTCATCACTCACAGATATTGGCCGTCCCTTTGGGGATCGGTAGGTACGAGCCCGCTCTCCACCTCCGGCCGTGAAAACCTTTCTTGCATCGACCGCAGTCCGGCCCCGTCGTGTTGTGCTCACATTCACAGCTCAGCTTCCCCTTCTTCATGACACAGTTGTTAGCGTGAAGGTTGCACTTGCACCTGACAACACATAGCAGCAAAAAAAAAGACCCGTTTAGCTCTGTCAGAGATCACATTCTCCGCAGTCCGCTCTACCACCCATGTTACAAACAAAGAATTGTCACCCCATTCATTGCATTTCAAAACAAGGCGTCAGTACAAGGAGATAGAGGAACCGCAGATGCTGGAGAATCTGAGATAACAAGGTGCAGAGCTGGATGAACACAGCAGGCCAAGCAGCATCAGAAATATTTCTGAAAAAGGGTCTAGGCCCGAAACGTCAGCTTTCCTGCTCCTCGGCTGCTGCTTGGCCTGCTGTGTTCATCCAGCTCTACACCTTGTTATCGTCAGTACAAGGTCTCATTGGGGTTCCACCATTTGATGATCAGACCCTGAACAGCAACAAAGATATGGAGACAACAAGGTGCAGGGCTGGATGAACACAGCAGGCCAAGCAGCATCATAGGAGCAGAGAGGCTGACGTTTCGGGCCTAGACCCTTCATCAGAAAAGGGGGAGGGGAAGGGTGTTTTGAAATAAATAGGGAGAGAGTGGGAGGCGGATAGAGATCCCTTGAGGTTTGTTCATCCAGCCCTGCACCTTGTTGTCTCGGATTCTCCAGCATCTGCAGTTCCTACTATCTCTGATTCAATTTTAACCCCACTGCGAAGCCTCTTCTAAGGATGCCTAACCTGAAGAAGTTACCCTCCTCCCTCCGGACAAACCTCAAGGGATCTCTATCCGCCTCCCACTCTCTCCCTATTTATTTCAAAACACCCTTCCCCTCCCCCTTTTCTGATGAAGGGTCTAGGCCCGAAACGTCAGCCTCTCTGCTCCTATGATGCTGCTTGGCCTGCTGTGTTCATCCAGCCCTGCACCTTGTTGTCTCGGATTCTCCAACAAAGATATGGACTTGAGTTTACAATAGCGCCCCTTACCGCCCCTCGCAAACTGACTGTTACCTGGCAGAAATGCACTTTAGGAGGCCCTGCAGTCACCACAAAAATGACCCCACTTTGCATTATATAACACCTTTTAAGGCATCAAAACATCCCACGGCATTTACTGCAGCAGTACAAAGCAAGTTGCCAATTGGTGAGTGAGTCTTGCTTGGCCGTAAAGTCCCTTCGCTAGTCTCCCCAGCAAATACAAGAGCCGGGAAGTTATGTTGGGGCTGTACAGCAATTCCGCAGGCCACAACTGGAGTACAGTGCGTAGTTCTGGTCGCCCCACTAAACGAAGGATGTAATTGGACTGCAGAGGGTGCAGAGGAGATTCACAGGATGTTATTTGGGATGCAGCATTATTCCTTTGAAGAGAGGTTGGATAAGACTCAGACAAGACTGAAGGGGGAGTCTGATGGAGGTGCTTAAAATTATGAGGGGCATGGACAGTGTGAATAGGAAGTGGCTGTTCCCCTTGGTCAGAAGGGCAATAAGAAGGGGGCAGAATTTTAAGAAAGGCAAGAGGATTAAAGGGAATTTGAGGAGAAAAAATATCCGCCGGAGGGTTGCGGGAGTCTGGAATGCACTGCCTGGGAGAATATCACAGAATCATGGAAACCCTACAGTGTGGAAGCAGGCGATTCAGCCCATCAAGGCCACTGACCCCACCCCCCAAGAAGCACCCACTCAGACTCATCCCTTCCCTGTACCCCGACATTTACCATGGTCAAACCACCTAGCCTGCACATCTTTGGACTTTGGGAGGAAACTGGAACATCTGGGAGAAAGCCCACACAGACATGGGGAGAATGTGCAAACTCCACACAGTTACCCAAGGCTGCAATCGAACCCTAGTCCCTGGCACTGTGAGGCAGCAGTGCTAACCACTAAGCCACTGTGCTACCAAAATTTCGCCCTCTGCTTTGGTGGGATTTGAACCCAGGACCCCAGAACATTACCTGTGCTTCTGGATAAATTGTTTAGCAACAAATCCATGAAATCTTTATCACCCCTGATTTTAGAGCTAGAGGCTAGAAACCACACCTTTAAAAGGTGTGTGGATGAGTAGTTGAAATTTTATTACATTCAAAGCTATGGAATAAGTGCGGAAAGTGGGATATAAGTAGATACGCCAACACCGATTCAGTGGGCTGAAAGGCCTCTTCTATGCTGCATGACTCAATGGCTAAGCCCCTCTTCTCTTCCAATACTTCAAACCTGCCTGTTTGACTAAACTTTTGGTCATCTACCCAAAAATCTCCTTACCTGACACGGTGTCAAATTGTTTTCAACATTATACTCCTATAAATGACCCTCGGATGTTTGTTTATACATTGTGTGCTACATAATTACAACCTGTTGCTGTTGGAGATTTGGAAAAGCTTAAATTGTTGGGATGGTCTGCCTGCCAATAAGTATGGGACAATGCTGTCACTGATTCTGTGTTAACAGCACGTAGCCGCCGCTTAATTTGCAATCAAGACAAAGCTTCCTAATCTGCAGACTATACACTGCACGATGTCTAAATTGCCAGTTCTGGGCACGTCTTATGAAAGTAAGCAAAATCCATGCAGCTCCTCAGAGACAAATGAATGGCAGCGTAAACAATTTCCTGCTCCTGTTCTCTAATTAGTGACTGAAGATTCTCCTTGATTAAAAGCACAAGTGAGCCTCATAGAAGCCAAGTGATAGATACAGATATGCGTACAAAATGGGAGCAGAATTAGACCAGTATGAGTCTCTTCCCCCATTCAATAAATTCTTGGCTGATCAATTTGTGTTTCAAATTTGACATTCCCATGAACCCCCAGTAACCTTTCCTAACAAAAATCTAACTCCCTCTGCCTTAAAAATATTTAATGTCCTGCCTCACTACCTCCTGAAGTAGTGTTCCAAAGTTGCACAAACCTCGGAAAAAAATCGAATCTGCCCATCTGTGTCTGAAAAGGGTGACCATTGATTTTAAAACCATTTGACTGACCCACAAGAAGGGGAAACATCTTTTTCTGGTGCACCTTGTCAAGACCATTGCAGATCTTGTGCATTTCCATCAAGTTACTCCTCAGCTTTCCAAATAAGGCTTATTTGTCCAACATACCTACTGATGAGACAATCTATACATTCCAGGTATCAATCTAGTAAACCTCATCTAAAGTCTCTCCAATACGTTTATATCCTTCCTTATTATGGAAGACAAAATTACACAGAGTATTCCAAATGAAGTCTCAGCATCGGACTATATACATAAATCATAACAGTAATATTTTCTTTTTCAATTCATCTTATAATAAAGGTTAGCATCCCATTAACTTTCTTGATTGCTCACTGTACCTGCATAATTTTATCCGACTGATTCATGAAAACATCCAAAATCTCTTTGCTCCACAGTCACTCTCCATTTAATTTACACTGCTTTTTACATTCTTCTAGCCATATTTTTGTCACATTAAACTCTCTCTACCACATATTTGTCCACTCACTCAAACTATCTATATCCATCTGCAATCCTCTTATGTTTTCTCCACAACATAATTTCCTACCTATCTGTGTATAAGTGAATATAGCTCCAATACCTTTGCTCCTCTCTATTTATTTGATGTAAGTAGTGAAAAGTTGAATCCTCAGCACAGGCACTTGATCCATCATATCCTGCCATACAGACACAGAACCATTTATGCATACTCTGGTTTCTGTCAGTAGGCCAATTTTCTATCCAGGCCAATGTGTTACCCAATTTATTTGCAACAATAGCCTTTGATGTGCCACATTATCAAATGTGTTCTAGAAAACCAAGCTCACTTTTATTCACAGTGTATAATCTCCTTTAAAGAACTCCAAAAAAACTTGGTTAAACCTGGTTTCTCCTTGATTAAACCATGCTGAGTCTTTTGAGTTGTCTTGAGTTTTTGTAAAATTGCAGCTATAATCTCTTTAAATATCAATTTAATGTGCCTATATTTTCTATTTTCTGCCTCTCTATCTTCTTGAACAGAGGGCTTAAATTTACTCCTATCAAGTCTTATGGAACCCTTTCTGAATCTAGGAAAGTTTGGAAAATTAACATACCTATTCATTAGCCATCACTTTTATCACACTAGGATGAAGTCTTTTTGCCACAGCTCTATCAGTTTGCTTCAGATTGCTTCACTCATGACTGCACTTTTACTAAATTCCTTTCTCCCTTCCACCTCCTGAATTACAGCTATTACTGGTGTCTTTTCTTGTTGCTCTATAGTGAAGACAAAACAAAATATTTGCTCATTATCTACCAGTAATTCCTCAGTTGCACTGCCTAGAGGAGCAACACTCCTTTATTTACAATTTAGCATTTTTAGACACGCCACAGAATTATAGAGTCCCTACAGCGTGGAATCAGGCCATTTGGCCTGTTGAGTTCACACCAACCCTCCAAAGAGCATCCCTCCCAGACCCACCCCTATCTTATAACCTTGCATTTCCCATGGGTAATCCACCCAGCTTGCACATCTTCAGACTGTGGGAGGCAACTGGAGCACCTCGAGGAAGCCCACACAGCCAGTTTCCTGAGGGTAGAATTGAACCCTGGCCCCTGGTGCTGTGAGACAGTGGTGCCAATCACTGAACCACCATGCTGCCCAAAACTCCTGTCATTACTTTGTTACATTACTATCTAGCTTCCTCTCATACTGTAATTTCTTCCTCCCGATTAACCTGTTAGTCATTCTCTATAATGTTTTATATCCTGACTAATCATTTGGTGTATTTCTAAGTTTTCACAGTCTGCTCCTTCCTGCCAATCTTTGATCTTCATTTCTTATAATACTATTTTCCATTCTTACTTTGACTCTATTTTTTGATAAATCACATGCATCCATGTTTGACCCCTTGCCCCCACTCTCTATTTTTCTATTTATACACTTCTTAAGAACATTGGTCCCGATGCAATTGAGATGTAGGCTATCCCAATGGTGTAGACTTAATTTCCACAGTACTAGTGCCAGTGGCCCAAGGGCCAGAACCATCTTCTCCCACACCAGACTTTGGTCCATGTATTTACTGCTTAATTTCATATATCCGATGTCAACTTACCCATGTCAACTTACATGTGACTCAGGTAAATATCCAGAGATTTAACTTTCGAGGTTCTGTTTCTTTCTTTTAATTTAGTGCCTACCTCTTCACAGACTCTATGCAGAACATCATTCCCAGTTCTGTTGTAACATTGGCTCCGAGCCAGTGTCCTGAACTCTGGCACTTGGTAAAGAATACAATCATTTGGACTCACACCTTTTGATTCAGAGAATGTTGTCAATCCCCTAAATAGACTATCACCTGTCAATACAACCTTACTTGTTGCTCACCCACTTGAACATCTTCCTGTTTCATAGTACCATGCTGTGGTAGCTCATCAATCCATAATCCATACTCTCTTCCAAACAGGCTGAGTGACCCTCAAACCTACTGGACAGTTGTAAGTGCTGGAATTCCTGCACTCTGGCTCACCTTATCTGCCTCACTTGTAGTCATACTCTCCTATACATGACTACTGACCAAGAACCTATCCAACTGGTGTGATTGCCTCTTGGTACAAAGAATCCTTCTCCCTCTCTGATGTCTGTAGTCCAGCCTTCAGCTCATAAACTCTGAGCTGAAACTGTCTGAGCTTCTAAATCTTACTGCATGCTTGTTTGTTCCAGATCACAATGGCATCCAGGAACACCCACATGCTACAACTTTAACACCGCCTATCCTGCCGTTCTAAGTTATTTACATATTCACTTACTTATGCTGACTTTTACATATTTTATTCACTTACAGCCAATTTGTACGCTATATTAAAGCTTAAGAATAAAAAAAAATCTTAATCACTTACCAGAAATGAACTAAACTATTTGCTCCTCTCTCTGTAGTACATCAAGAACCAATTCCAAACTGCTCCACTGATTCTAGGTCTGTCTCTGACTGCCTGTCACGGAGTCCTCCTCATCCCTGTTCTTCCAGGTAATACTGACTCCCTGTCTTGGGTCTGCTAGTTGATGCCAACTATCTATTGTAGGGTCCTCCTGCCTGCTCTTCTATGTGGTTTTGAATCCCTGTCTCAGAATCCTTTCTCATGCGCTCGTCCTCTACATAATGCTGACTGTCTGTTTAGGAGTCCCCAGCTTGTCCATTCTTCTAGATGATGCTAACTGCCTGTCGTGGTACCCTTTCAACTATTCCACCACGTGATGCTGCCTTCTTGGTTCAGGCCTCACCTGCTCATCCAGCTAATGATTCCGAATTCTGGAGATTGTGTGATGGGTGAATGGGAGTTCAGTGATCGAAACTGAACACAGATTGAGGACAAGAGAAGTGGTCAGTCGGAATAATTACAAAAACCATCAGCAGTTTTGACAGGGTAAGTAAGGAGAAACTCTTTCTGGTGACACTAAGATCAGTAACCAGACGAATAATACATATTGAAGATAATGGATACAAGAAGCAAAGGGGGAGGTGAGGGGATTCTTTTTCATGCAGTGAATTGTTGAGATCTGGACTCTGCTGCCTGAAGGGAGAGGGAGACTGATGCAAAAACATATTTCAAAAGAGAATTAGGTAAATAATTGAAGGTAAAATTTTGGCCAAGACAAGGGGAAGTCAAAAGTTTTGTGAGCTCGCTCAAAGAGACTGCACAGATAGAATGGATTGAATGACCACTTTTCTGTGCTGTTATAATTCTCTAAATCCTGGTGTGACACAGAGCTGCAGTGTAGAAAAGAATGGGTCAGAGATTGCCTTGTTGCTCACTGAACACAAAATCACATCCTCATGGTGAGCCAGTCAACAGAACTGTAAAAGATCACAGCCAAGCTCATCAGCAGGGGGAAGGGGAGATGTTGCAGAGCTGCTGTGTGTGGGCTGTCACTCAACCACTCAGCAAAGGCTTCACAATTGACATGGGCAGCTGACAGCGCTGAATGGGCTGGGGCTGTAAGGGATCCCAACCTATCTCCACACAATCTTGCCAGTTACCAGAAACTCATGTCAGTGACTCTGAGCAGAAGCAGCAAGGTGCTCCCACCTTCAGAGAATCTCCCAGAGAGTGAGAATATCTCAGGATAGGTAGTGTGAATCTGAATGTTAGCACGGAAAGCATAAATTTAGATGTGCACATAAAGAGCATGAATCCAGATCATGGAACAGATAGAATGAATCCAGATGTTAGCACAGATAGAGTGATCCTTAATGTTAGCATGGATAGCATAAATCTTGACGTTGGCATGGCAACATGAATCCAGATGTTAACGCAGATAGAGTGAACCCAGGTGTTCATAAAGATAGAGTGAACCCATATTTTTGCAGAGAACATAAATCCAGATGTTAGCACAGATGGAGAATGCCCCGACATTTGCACAGATAGCAGGAATCCAGATGTTAGCCACAATACAGATATATGATTGCGTCAAACAGTACACTTCAGATGTTCTGTGTTGGTGCCCCTCAATTATGTTCCCCAGGAATTAACTCTAATGATGAACCCCTGATTGTTGACTGTCATGGTGCTCCCAAATGTTGTTCTGGTGGTGGCCCGTTGTATTTTCTCCCAAATGTGCTACCCAGACATTGGCCCTAATGATGACCCAGATGTTGACCCTGATGGCACTCCCAGATGTTTCCTATCATGGTGCCCCTCAATAGTATCACCCAGATGCTCCCCTTGCTGGTTCCCCTCCAGATGTTGATACTCTGACTGCTCCCGTGACCCTGTGCTCCCTGGATTGAAGCGTGGGCTGTGACCCTGCCTAGAAAGGGTTTTGGAGCTCTCACCGGCCACGGATGTCCAAGTTGGAGATGGCGTAGAAGTACTTGGAGAGATTGTTGGGGTCGACACTGGTGGGTCCAGTAGCCGGCCGCAGCAGCCTGACCCGCAGGTCGGTCAGGGTGAAGAAGTCTCTCAGTTCCTTGGTGGTGTCCAGTTGGCCGTACAGTGAGGCCATGTCCCCAAGGCGGGGCCCTCCGAACAGGGCCAGGCGCTCCTGGATCTCGAAGCGGACCGTCTTGTCCACCTTCCACACATAGCCCCTGGAGTACTCCTCCGTGCAGATGATGTCCAGCACCGAGGCCGGCCTCAGATCCCGAGACTTTCTCGGCTCCATCCCGAAGGAGTTGAGGCAGTCGGCTGCATAGAACTGGTAGGGCTGCCAGCTCCGCCCATGGTCCAGAGACTTCTCCAGGACCATCTGCTCCGGCCGGCCTGACTCGAAGGTGATGATGATGTCCTCGGTCAGTTCAATGCTCTTTCCCCAGGACAGGGTGATGTTGATCACCAGGGGTCTGGGGAAACCCCTCCAGGACACACTTTGCCAAAAGCTGGTGGGAATCCTGCCTTCATCATCCAGCATCAGCTCGGGAGGGTGGGCCAGCTCGGGTGTGTGAGCATCACACTCGTTGTTGCACATGTATGGATTCTCCTGTAAACAGAGAGGGCAACAGCATGGGTTAGATATAGAGTAAAACTACCTCTACATTGTCCCCATCAAATACTCCCAGGGCGGGTACAACATGGGGTTAAATATAGAGTAAAGCTCTGTCTACATTGTCTCTATGAAATACTTTGAGGATGAGCTCAGCAGAGTGTTAGATACCGTGTAAAGTGTCATCTGCACTGTCCCTATCAAATACCCCGAGGACAGATGCAGCACAGGGTTAGATGCAGAGTAAACCTTCCTCCATACTTTCCTATCAAGTACACTCAGGGCAGGTACAGCACCGAATTAGATACAAAATAAAGCTACCTCTGCACTGTCTCTGTCAAATACTCCCAGAACAGGTACAGCACCAGGTTAGATACAGAGTAAAGCCCGCTGTACAGTATCCCTATTAAATTGTTGCAGGACGGGTTTAGCACAGGGTTAGATATGTAAGCTCTATCTACTCATTTAAACTGAAAGTAAAACTCTCTCTATACAGACTCCATCAAACATTGCCATTGCAGGTACAGCACTGGTTAGATATGGGGTATTCCACCCTCTGCACCAACATGGAATGTAAGAATATCCTCGCAGTCCAATTATCTCCAGGAGAAGGTTTTCATAAATCTGTCAGTGCTCCATCACACTGCACTGTGTTGGACAGTTAGACAGCAGGATAATTATATCACTATTGTGCTGAAGAATGATGTTTACTATCTAACCAAAAATAGCTTCACATCACCAAAATATTTACAAACATGGATTATAAAACAACACAGGATTTGGGAAGCAAATGCTATTCCTAGAGTCGGCTGCTGAATTGTGGAATAACAACAGGGGGATGAGGACTAGGTAGATCTTTCAAAGGACTTGCATGAGTGAAATGCGTTGAATGACCACATTCTGGGTGATATAATCCGCTGAGTTTTACAATTGTAAATCAGGTTGGTGTGTGCCTTAGAGGGAGACATGGAAGCAATGGTGTTGCTGTTGATAAGCTCAGAGTTATAGTTACAGAGATGTACAGCACAGAAACAAACCCTTTGGTCCAATCCGTCCATGCCAATATCATAAATCAGATATCATAAATTAATCTAGTCCCATCTACCAGCATTTGGCCCATTCCCTCCAAACCTTTCCTATTCAGATACCCATCCAGATGCCTTTTAAATGTTGCAATTGTACCAGCCTCCAAAACTTCATCTGGCAGTTCATTCCAAACACACAACTATCTCTGTGAAAAAAATGCCCCTCAGGTCCCTTTTAAACCTTTCTTCTCTCACCTTAAACCAATGCACTCTAATTTTGGACTATCTAACCCTGGGTAAATGGCCTTCACTATTTACCCTATCCATATGTAGGAGCCAATTAATGCAGATGCTCGAATCTGCACTGAAAACAACAAATGTTGGAGATCACAGTGGGTTGGATAGCACCCATGGAGAGAGAGCAAGCTAACATTTTGAATCTAGATGACTCTTCATCAAAGAATCATCAGCTCTGATGACAAGACATCTAGATTCAAAACATTAGCTTGCTCTCCCTCCATGGAGCTGTCTGACTCGTCGTGATCTCCAACATTTGTTGTTTTCACCTATCCATGCCCTTCATGATTTTATGAACTTCTATAAGGTTCCCCCCTCAGCATCTGTTGCTCCAGAGAACATAGCCCCAGCCTATTCAGCCTCTCCCTATAGCTCAAACCCACCAACCCTGGCAACATCCTTGTAAATCTTTTCTATTTAACAATATATTTCCTATAGCAGGGAGACCAGAATTAAATGCAGTATTCCAAAAGTGGCCTAACCAATGTCCTGTAAAGTTGCAACATGACCTCCCAACTCCCATACTCAATCTACTGACCAATAAAGGCAAGCACACCAAGCACCTTTATCACTACCATGTCTACCTGTGACTCCACTTTCAAGGAACTATGAGCCTGCACTGCAAGGTCTCTTTGTTCAGCAACACTCCCCAGGACCTTACCATTAAGTGTGTAAGTCCTGCCCTACCAAAATGTAGCACCTCACATTTATCAAAATTAAACTCCCCACCTTCTCTGAGTCTTCTAGTTTATGAAGGGAGTGTATTTGGAACATGTTGTTAGATAAGCCTTGGTTAGTTACTGCAATGAATCCCGTACATGGGGCACACCTGAAGCCATAGTGAGCTGGTGGTGGAAGGAGCAGGGTTTGTGATGTGCTGATAAAAGATTTCTGATGGATTGCTGCGGTAAATCATGAACTCGATACAGATTGCACCCGTTATGCTTATTGACGGGGAGCACAGATTTGGGAGAGTTGCTGCAGTGAGACCTTCTGACTGGGCATACCACGGCGCTACCTGAATTCAGCAATACTGAATAAAGCCCAATGACTTCTCGAAAACGATTCCACCTCTTAACTATGTTCGAGTGAAATCTGTTTTAAAGTGGATGTTTGCGGCAATTAAACAAACTAATGTGTGTGCTGAAAACTGAGAGTGTAGTAACACGCAGAGAATCGAGAACAATTAATCTATAATTGTCACAGCATTGACTAAGGAAATTAAGCTGCAGATTGGGGAAAATATTTTTAGTCCTTTATGTAAGTCAAATTGAGTGAATATTAGTAACAGAACCCAAAAGCTGTGTGGAGAAAAAATGAATAATTAAACAGTGCAGATGTTAAGTGCTCCTGAATCGTTGTATCCTCGATACATCATTAACAGCTCTATGTCCCAGTCCTACACCTGATGCTTCTCGATGATGCTGTTGCACCAGCGAGGAATCACGAGTGTCAGTCGCTGGTGGGAATTCAGTGGAAAATCACAGTGGGAATGAGTAGAGGCGCAGAGGGAACTCTCACTCTACCAATCCCTTGTATTATCTCTCATCCTCAATCCCTAATCAGGGCACAATTTGCAATAAGATGTCTTGTTCTCTCTGCGTCAGTTTCACCTCCGGGCTATTTCAGATCTCTGCTTATCGATCTCTCTCCCTCCGTAACCTTCATCTCATCGCACAACTACGCTCTCGCAAATCTATGCTCTCTCCAGCCTTGCTCACACTGAGTGCCATTTCCCCACCCAGTGCTCGCTGGCCCACGTTGGACTCCAGTTCAGCAACAGCTCAATTTCAAAATTCTCATCCTCGCGTTCAAATTCCAGCCCCTCAATGGTTTGGCTTCTCTCTAAACTCTTCCAGGTCGACAATACTCCCAGATTCTTGTCTTCCTTCAACTCTGGCCTTTTCGAGCATCGTCCCATTTCAAATCGCTCCACAGTTGCTGGCTACGCCTCACAGTACTCGGATCAGAAAACGTTTCCCTTCCTTCCAGCCACTCTTTGGAAAAAAAATCTGCCTGACAGAAAACTGGATCACCCGTACCAAGATGTGGCTCGCTGTCAATTTCTTAATAAAAACTGAAAGAAGTGCGGAAGCAATTAGAAACACAAACAGAAGTTGCTGGAAAAGTTCAGTAGTTCTGAGAAAGGGTCACCGGAACAGAAACGTTAACTTCACGGATACTGGCAGACCTGCTGAGCTCTTCCAGCAACTTCTGTTTTTGTCGTTGTCAATTCTTATCTGATTTAATCCCTCGTGAAGTACCTTGGGAATATATAATTACTGTTGACGGTGCTATATAAATACAAGTTGTTGTTGAACCAGGAATCTAACATCACGACCCAGCCAAGTCAGGGACTCAATGGGTTCTGGCTGCGTCAACACCGGAAAGGAAGAGATTTTAATATGAAGGATCATATATTTCAGAGACTGTTCCTGCCACAGTGGAGTGTTAATGCAGGGTCTTATCAATCATTGTTACTGCAACAAATCCACTCACCCCTTGACGTTTATTTCAGAGCTTAAGTGCTGTTATCTTGGATTTACAACGTGTCGTGTGACTAAGATCCTGTCGCTCTCACTGACACTATCAGCATGGTTCATTCCCCTGGCTAATGATGTTCATTAGCAGATTATTAAAGACAAAAGTTACTGACTCCGTAAAGTTCACTCCCACAGAATCTTGTTACTTCCATGCAGCGAGTAATTTGTCCTTTGTTCGAATTAATTTGTACAGCAGCAAATATCCCAAAGTGAATCACAGGAACATGAATTAAGAGGGGGTGAATGGAACTATGTCCCGTAAGTAGCATTAGGACTAGTGATGGGTGGGGATGGAGTGATGGTATGTGCTGGTGCAGCTCTATATTATTTTCTGAGCTTACCATGAAGGTCCCGCCTTCCCAACATCTCCCCTCGGCCTGAGGCGAAGTAACCCTCGGGTTCAACTCACCACTAGCCATCTCTCTCCCGAATGAGAGAGCAACCCTGGGACTATGAGATAGTAGGAACTGCCGATGCTGGAGTCTGAGATAACAAGGTGTGGAGCTGGATGAACACAGCAGGCCAGGCAACATCAGAGGAGCAGGAAAGCTGACGTTTCGGGTCTGGACCCTTCTTCAGACCTGAAACGTCAGCTTTCCTGCTCCTCTGATTGCTGCCCGGCCTGCTGTGCTCATCCAGCTCTACACCCTGTTTACCCTGGGGTTATGGCGACGTTACGATGTAATACTTCGCCACAGCCTGTGCTTGTGAAACCTGCTCTCGAAAAGCACGTTTATTTTTATAGCACTGTGTAAATTTTCAGTTTCACTGACGCTCAGCAGTTGCCACAAGATGCTCGCTCCATTTGGTATCTACAATCAGGTCGAGTTCCTAAAAACACAGAAACTGGCAAGTTGGCTTAACCGATGTATGTTGACGTTTATTCACCACGCCAGTCTCCTCTTCTGTTTCATCCGATCAATGTATGATTTCTTTAATTTTCCTCCCTCATCTGTTCCCTTATTTTTATTCTTAAACTTCACTGTTATTAGCCTCCTCACTGTCATTATTATCGTGGATTTGTTTTTCCTCCTAATTCCCTATTGAGTTGATGAGTAACTATCTGATGTTTGTATAGTTCTCCCCCACAATTGGGAATACCTCCTCTTGCATTCACGTCACTAAACCCCTT